CAGAGAAGTGAGTTTGAAGTGTAGAAAACGACGAACAGAGTCGGAGAAAGTCCCCGAGGTTAGAGACAGAGAAGAAGAGATTGTTTTTCAGCGGCGGTGGGTCACACCGTCACATGTTTCCCGCTTTTGAAAACAATTTCCAAAATTTAATTGTTTCTTACCAAACTTACATCTACTTAGGGGGCTTTTGTTTTAATTGGGCTTTTATGGGCCCATATCTTTAGTTCTGCGTCACAGTCTGTTCGGCGTTCTTGCGTCTAGCGACTGGAATTTCAAGACGCTAAATTTGCGTTTATATTTTGTAAATGACGATATTACCCTTAAATTGTTCGAAAACGACCAAAAAGCCGAACCCTAAGTGTAAAACCTTGTCCTTTAGCTCAGAGACCTGATTCTTCGCTTCTTCTCGGCACTTATCGCCGCCGTCTCCGCCGTCGTCAATTTCAGCACCGGCGATTTCGCCGACTTCAGTGTGAACACTATTGCTACCTTGTCCAATTCTCCAGAAACGCCCTAGCTCGTTCTCTCCTGTTTTCTGAGTCTCTATCTAAGGTAAGTCGGGGATTTTTCTCTCTGTTTATCGTTCTGAGTGATATAGCTTCTCTGGGTATTTTTGCTCTGATCTTCTCTTTGGATTTGTCTCACTTGTCTGGTCGAATCAAATGATCTTTGTTTGTAATAGGCTTAAGTTTCTCCTATTTTGCAATTTTCTGTTTGCTCTTATGTTGTTATAAAAGCTTTTGCCTTCTATTGAGAGTTTTATGGTACTTGGCAGATGGAGAAAAACGCCTATTTTCTGTTTGGTGGAACAAAATTCAACAAGAAGAAGTTTGCTCCAGATTTTGCTAAGTTTAAGGTGAGTTCTGCTCGTGTTAGTGTTGTGTAAATCAACATTACTCACTCCCTCTTTGTTCTTATTTTAAAATCCTCATTGCTGTGTTAGAATTGTACGGAGGATAATGATTCCAATAAGAAAGTGAACTTCTTTGAGGAGGAAGAGGACCCTGAAGAAGAGAAGAAAGTCGTGTCTTCTAAGAAGAGGAAGCGAAGATCTGCTAAATCTGGTAAGTCTGAAAAAATAATTACTATTATTCACTCAGAATTTTGCTAACTGTGTGTCTGATTCAATTTTTCATTATTTCGTAATAGGGCCTGTTGAAGGATTTGATGTGTTCAAGATCTCAAAGAAGGCTCTTGCTGAAGGTAAAGAAGATGAGCTAAACACAAAGGATGAGATTTTAGAGAATTCCAAGAAGGAATTTAATCGGCGAATGGAGGTATGGTCGAGTTGTTTAATATTCTTTATCTGTTTCATCAAATGCAAAGAGTGATAGATATATGTCTTGATTTTACTTCTTCATAATGGCAGCAAGGTGCTTTGTCGAGGAAACAGTACAACATTCATGTTTCCGGTAACAATATTCCACCCCCACTTAAAAGCTTCGCAGAATTGTCATCAAGGTGCGTGGAATTGGGTTTTATTCTTATAGTAGTTTGACTTATTATGCTCATAGGATTAGTGGTTTTGATGTTTGTGTATATATGAAATCCTCGTTGGAATGAATTTTCCCTGGACCTTTCATCTATTGATATACTTGTTTACGTGTTTAAATCTTTCCTCTCCTCTAGGTTTTGATCTTCATGCTTAATTAATTTACAGGTATGGTTGTAAGAGGTACATATTACGCAATTTGGCTGAACTAGGATTTAAAGAACCTACTCCAATCCAAAGGCAGGCTATTCCAGTTCTCCTATCGGTATGGTCTTATTCACTCTTTTTTCTATTCGTTACAGCAGAGACAGAGTTGAGGGAAACAAGAGAGAGAATTTCTTCGTCCAGATTATTTTATGAATCCTTTAATGAGGTATCCGTTCTAGTTTTGAGTAGTCTTTTTGCTTAATCCCAGGGTCGTGAATGCTTTGCCTGTGCTCCAACTGGGTCTGGAAAAACCATTGCTTTTATTTGTCCCATGCTTATAAAACTCAAGGTAAGAAACTGTGTTCACCCTTAAGACCCTCCGGATTTCGTAGATCTTGATTCTTGAATCATGCTTATGATTTTCGTCGTTGTTTTTCAGCGCCCTTCAACCGATGGAATAAGAGCGGTTATCCTCTCTCCTGCAAGAGAACTGGCTGCCCAGACAGCTAGAGAAGGAAAAAAACTTATCAAAGGAAGCAAGTTCAACATCAGATTAATGACTAAATCCCTTGTCAAAACAGCTGATTTCTCAAAGCTGCGGTGTGACGTTCTCATATCAACGCCGATGCGGCTGAAAAAAGCTATCAAGGCCAAAAAGATTGACTTAAGCAAGTAAGTCAATAGCATACATTATAATTAAAGTGTTTATTTGTGTTATGCCTATTTTTCACCCGTCATCTCTGTTAAATCAGGGTGGAGTATCTTGTCCTTGATGAATCTGACAAGCTGTTTGAGCAGAGCTTGATAGAGCAGATAGATCGTGTGGTTAAGGCTTGTTCAAACCCTTCAATCATACGCTCATTGTTCAGTGCTACTTTACCCGATTCTATTGAGGAACTTGCACGTTCCATTATGCACGATGCTGTTCGTGTGATCATTGGCCGAAAGTGAGTAGGAAAAATGATACCGAAGCTTTTATAGGTGCTTCACAACATTTCTTGCAGCAAAAGGATCTTACTTTTTATAATTCATGCAGGAACACAGCGTCTGAAACCGTCAAGCAAAATCTGGTTTTTGCTGGAACTGAAGAAGGGAAACTTCTCGCTCTTCGCCAAAGCTTTGCAGAGGTAAGTTCAGTTATCTAAACAGTATTATCAAGTAATTCCGTTACCTTTTGTAATTTCTTTTGTACTTGACAGTAGAGTCTGAATCCACCGGTACTGATCTTTGTGCAAAGCAAAGAACGAGCAAAGGAACTATACGATGAACTGAAATGTGAAAACATCAGAGTCGGGGTCATCCATTCCGATCTCCCTCCAGGAGAGGTAAAATCATCTATCCCCATGGCCATCAAATAAATTGTGCTCCTTTATCGAAATTATAGATGAGTGAGGTGATTTAAAAACCATTTGCCAATAATGGATGCTTCAGCGGGAAAACGCGGTTGATCAGTTCAGAGCTGGCGAAACATGGGTTCTGATCGCCACTGATGTGATCGCTAGGGGTATGGATTTCAAAGGCATCAACTGCGTGATAAACTATGATTTCCCGGATTCTGCTTCTGCATACATCCACAGGATTGGTACATACATTTCTCCACTCTTTGTATCTAAATCGTATATTCTATGCTCGTCTTTGTGATAATGAGATGATGCATCTGGGAAGTAACCGCTCTTGAAAACTGTTACAGGTCGGTCAGGAAGAGCGGGAAGGAGCGGAGAAGCGATAACGTTCTACACGGAAGAAGATGTGCCTTTCCTAAGGAACATAGCCAACACAATGACATCATCGGGCTGTGAGGTTCCGTCGTGGATCATGACATTGAAGAAGAAGAAATGGAAGAAGCATAGGCCGAAACGTGATTCTATATCTACTCGACCCAAAGCCGATAAAAAGGATCAAGAAGAATAAACTTCAAATGTTGTATTTTCTTTTTCTTGCTTGCTACATTGACGAATGGCTTAAAAGAGAGACAGTTTTTGTATTTTATAATCTTGTAAGATTTTTAAAATTTTGATAAGATTTAAGCACGAGATTAACAAAATAAGTTTGAATCCATCTTCCCTATTATTTTACAGAAAAAGGTTAGAACAACAACTATCAAACAATCTAGATAATTTGTTCATAAGAAAAAAAAAAAATCAAATTGGACCGACG